GAGACTAGTTTAGTTAATCACTTTAACTTAAACTATAAACATGTAGACAGGAGACTAGTTTAGTTAATCACTTTAAACTATAAACATGTAGACAGGAGACTAGTTTAGTTAATCACTTTAAACTATAAACATGTAAATAGGAGACTAGTTTAGTTCATCACTTTAAACTATAAACATGTAGACAGGAGACTAGTTTAGTTAATCACTTTAACTTAAACTATAAACATGTAGATAGGAGACTAGTTTAGTTAATCACTTTAAACTATAAACATGTAAACAGGAGACTAGTTTAGTTAATCACTTTAAACTATAAACATGTAGACAGCAGACTAGTTTAGTTCATCACTTTAAACTATAAACATGTAGACAGCAGACTAGTTTAGTTCATCACTTTAAACTATAAACCTGTAGACAGGAGCCTAGTTTAGTTAATCACTTTAAACTATAAACATGTAAACAGGAGACTAGTTTAGTTAATCACTTTAAACTATAAACATGTAGACAGGAGACTAGTTTAGTTAATCACTTTAAACTATAAACATGTAGACAGGAGACTAGTTTAGTTAATCACTTTAAACTGTATTTAATTTCTTACACTGCTTTTGAGTGTTTAATGACTGTTTTTATTGTTTCAATGAATGTTTGTAATTGTTTTTAAATCTCCTTTTCTTTTGCCTCATGTTTTGATGCTTTTAATGGTTTTCATGTGAAGCACTTTGAATTACCTTGTTGTTGAAATGTGCCATACAAATAAACTTTTAAAGTTGAACTAGTCCAGCCTCGGTTCTTTCTGAAAGTTGTTCTTTGTGTTCATTCGGAGGTGAATCAGTGATTGAGAGTAAATTACAACATCTGGACTCAGGTCTCTGGTTTCATTACGACAGGAAACGAGGTGACGGACCTGAAACCTGCGAGTGTTCACAGCTGACTTCTGTTACTCAGAGTTCAGCCCGAAGAATCCATCACATTCCATCACACACACACACACACACACACACACACACACACACACACACACACACGCCAGCAGCTGTGTGTATCAGCAGGAGGTGTTTGGCTCAGAGCCAGACTGTAGAGATCCTCTAAAGCTATGGAGGCCCTGTTGGGGGGGGGGGGGGGGGGGGGGGGGG